GTGGACACGAGCGTGGCCCCGGTGGGGGAGAGCAGGTCACTGGCTCGCTCCTTTGATTATGGCCTTCAGGAGCAGCCTCCCAAGAGGTCTTGGAGCCAGTCAGACATGAAAACCATCCACTTCCCCTATGGCTCTGAGTTCAGACCCCTGGGGCCGTGCCCCGTGCTGAGCAGCCGGAAAGCAGGTGTCTTTCGGCACGTGCCGGCCCAGCAAGGGCTGGCGCCGGGGCCACGGTGCTCTGCTGAGCGCTACGTGGGCAGCAGCACTGAGTCCAGCGACTCCGACTCTGACCTCCTGGCTGCCGACTACTGCTCCCTGTACGGCCGGGTGCTGCGGTCGCCCATGGCCCGGGTGCGGCTGTCCTCCGGCAGCCTCCAGCTGGATGAAGAGGATGAGGAGGTGTCCTTCGCCACCGGTGCCGCTGAAGAGAGGACTTCCAGGGGGGCCTCTGGGTATTTCACCTAGGTGCCTGACACCAGCCAGAGGGAGCAGAGGTGGCCGGCACAGACCCGGGGCTGCAGAAGGGTGACACTCTTGCTTGCAGGGCTGCTTGCTGCTTGCAAAACATTGATGGATTTGTGTTGTGTGAGTACTCTTAGCTATAGAGGATGTGCCAATGGACAACAGGGGAGCATTCAGAAGTACCCATCCCCTGCACCATGCTTGGAAGCTGGAGTGTCTCTGCCACCACGCATGGGGTCCTGCTCCAGGCAGAGGGGCCAGGGCTCTCCTAAAGCCCTGCAAAGACCTTGCATCCTCCCCAGCTGGGCAGCTGCTGGCCACGCTTGGAGCTCAGCCACTGGAGTCTTCATTGGAGGGAGAGAGAAAAAGACAAGAGACATCTCATGGAAGAGGTTAAACATCTGTTTGTCACAGCTGCAGAGAAGCACACTGGTGGAAAGGGTGTTTGAGGCCCATTTGGAGAGGAGCAGGGTGGCTGGGGAGGCTGCTCCAGGCGCTGATGCCCCGTGGATATAGCCAATGCCCCAGCATGGAGCCCATCTCCTCTGTCCTGCGTCTCCTCCCTCCCAATGCTGCAGCGAGCACCTGGCCCTCAAGGACAGGGCTACACGTGTGGGGTGCTCCTTGTGATGCTTGGACCCACAGAGGAAGCAAACAGCTCTGTCTTCTCCCCAGCCAGCTTACAGCACTATCCTTCCCCAAGAAATATCCCCTAGGTGCTTCTAAATCATTCAGCAGCATCCAACAGCGAGCTCTAGGAAGTGGGTTAATGAATGATAACGTATAGCTCTGCTTTTCTGAGATCCATTAGCTGTCATTTTCTGGCAGCAGCTCCACAGCCCCGGCACCTCCGTGCCCTGCTTAAATCTGGGGGAGTGAGGCATGTAAGGGGGCCCTTTGCTTCCCCAAATCAGGCCTCAGTTAAGCAGCATGGGGGAAAAGATCTCAGGAGGGGGTAGGAAAGAAACAGGCAGCTGGTGCTCACCCTTGGCATTAGGAAGTCTGCTGTAACCATGGTGCTTCCAAACTTTTCTGTTTGCTATATGAGTGCAATGTTATTTTTACCAGGGCTGTTTCTAGCTATAAAGAAGGAGCAGGAGATGGGACTGCTCACTATCCATGGCGCAGCAGGAGGGGGATTCCCAATTTATCCATTGCTCCCTTGAAGGGAAAAGGTATAAACATACTTCTTGGAAGTACTTTTATTACAAAAGTTATTATTACCCTAAACCTACACAAAATCTACTCAGAAAACTGGAAATGATGACACCTCTGTAAGATTTTAGGGGAGGATCTTGTTACTTTTCTTTAAGAACCCTGTAAGACTCTCTTGGACGTGACTGTAAGGACAGGGACAGCCCAGTAAATCCAGTTGAGAAACTACTGTGACCTGCTAGAATGGACTTCAGAAACAAGGAAGCTGGGGCAACGACAGAAAATAGGTTAAAATGTAAAAAGAACTGGGCTTATGGGTACTGCTCACCCTGCGCGTCGCTGTCCTTTGTTTTAGAAGCTGGACAATAAAAATCAGTTGTTCACACCAGAGTTTTGGGTTCCTCCTTCTGCCCTGTCAAATCTGCACCCCCAGCCCTGCAGGCACCCCTAGCCCACCTTCCCCTGCCTCTCCCATCTCCCAGGCAGCCCTCATTGCTCCACAGAGCTGCCAGGCTGGTTTCCCTCTCCCGCAGCTGCTTGCTGGTTCCCTCTGTGCCTTCACTGTCTCAGCGACTGGGGAGACTTGCCGAGATCCCTGAATGCTGCTGAAGACAACCACATTCTTGGTTAGTTGCCCAAAGAAATGTGTCAGATCAACAAGAGAGCACACTGTAAGGTTTGCTTTTGCTCCTGGTTACCCTGTGCTGAAGAAGCTGTGAACTACAGGGACCCCATGTGCTGCTCTGGCACATGTTCTATTAGAGAAGGGATAATCTTTCTGGTTATAGAGAGTTGTTTCTTCCCTTTCCCAAAGCTCTGCACCTTGGAAAGAGCAAGAACCACCACTCAATACAGCATTTAAGTATGGCAGTCTATATGCGTGATTTGGTAGAGGGGAAAAAAAAAAGCAGCAGTGTTTCACATACAGACTGCACACACAGCCCTCGGGGAATGTCCCTTAAAGGGTTATACCTTAAGCATACAGGCAAACCTACAGTCACTGTTAGCTCCTGAAAGCATGTGGAGAACAGGTAAAGGCTGGCCCAGGTCAGCTTTACCTTGAGCATGTCCCAGAACAGACACATAGTCCCACCGAGAGGAATCAACATACAAGCCACACTGCCCAAATCTCCCGGCGCTGCCAGCTCTGACAGTCAGGACTATGCCGGGAAAACAGCACTGAGAGGGAGAAACAAGGACTTGGGAACTATTTTTGGATTTTTCCGTTGACTAGAGAGCACTGTGGCACAGCGTGTGCACTGTGCCTTAGCACATCCTACACAATGGTCAACAACAGCAGCGGAACAAAGCAGCTCGTAAGTGACAGAAATTAACATCTTCAAGCTAAATTCATTGCGTAAACTAGCTTTCTTGGGACTGACTAAAATAAAGGAACAATCCCAGTAAACAGTGGCTCACACATCAAGGAACAATTGAAATAACCCTTGAGTAAGTCCTTCCCTGCTCAGCCCTATTCACCCAAAAGAGGTAAGAACATCTATTCAAGTGATTGTGTTTCACTAGGGAAGAAAACGAAGATGGAGAGAGGACATGGAATGATTTGGTCTGCTGACAATGAAAGACACACAGCAGTACCTGGAAAATGTATACTTTTATAGCCCTTACGCAAGCAAGGGTTATTAAAGGGGGAGGAGGCACAGCAGCATTACAGTGTCAAAACATTAAGCTACTCAATGCATTTGGACTGAAGTAACTGGGGTTCATGTAAAATATATAACTTATAGATAAAGCTAATCTTGAAATTCAGATGCAGGATGTTCAGCACCTTTTTAGGCATAGGTGTGTATGTTAGGATATAAAAAGAAGCAAACTGTACACAGTATACAAAGAACTTGCGTTTGGAGAAGCACTAAGACAGGTTTCAGTGTATCTACCTCATCTCTGTATTAAGTGTTACTTCATTTATTGGAAAAATGTGAAGTAAGGCAAGCCAACATACATACCACTAAAACTTTGCAAAGAGGAAAATAATTTTATTCCAGTGTTAAGTCATAAAACAGTGTGATAAAAATCAGACCTTTAACAATTGCTAAACTTTGTGCAAACACATTAAGAACCTACGTACTTTCCTATTCAGCTATAGACATTCAGTTGAATGCATGAACAGGTGTTTACGATACTACATGCTTACTGTACAGAAGCGTACTAGAAGAGTCAGAGACCAAGGGTTTTAAGCATGGTTACATTGATAAAGGACTCATCTACCCAAGAACAAATACATTTCTCTATTCTGTGATTCAGACTACTTTGCTAAGACTACTTCAATATCAATTCTTCTCAATCTACAGTGGGAAGCCTAGCAAACCAAACAAGCAAGAAGATGGTTCCTGCATGAATATTTTGATATATCTTTCCATTAGCTATCTGCCAGCAACAGAATACTGCTGATTAAGTTACACAGTTCATCAATAACTAACACATGGTGGGGAAAAAGACAACTGTTCTCTGGAAATCAGTAATATAGACATCCATTCTTTAGATTATAGTCTTATGATGCACAGAGACATTAGGCGCAGAAATGCCATATGCAGTACAATAAAAAACCTTCTTGAATGGACTTGAAGAGAACGAGGTTGTATTATACACACGTGGATGAGTTTTTCCCCACACTGTCCTATGAGGTAGGTACACATCCCACCCATTTCACAGGAAAAGAAGAGGCACCATAGTTCAGCAACTTCGTTACAGTCATATCACAAATGGGACAAGTTCCAATTTCCCAAATAATTCACTAACCCTACCTACCCAGAATCGTTTAAGAGTTGCATAGATTAAAGACCCTGTGTCAACAGGGTAGAGCCACCAGTTACAAAATTCGGGAGGAATTCTCATCACTTCTCCCCTTGCTCTCCCACATAAAAAGAACACCTTAAGGGAAGTGACATGGAAGTAGAAACATGTTTTTAATTCTGAGAAATTTGTATGGAGCTCTTTAAAATGAGATTTGGGTCAAGACTGCTGAAGTGAAAGCCGAGGTAACTGTGGCACAGGCCTTTTTGTACCTTCACTCCACAATGCTGAGTTCACAATGAAGTCAGAGTGTTCTGACATCTCTACCATGTTGTCACGGGCTGTGCACGTTCGTCTGAGCACACAGATCCTGAAGACTCCTCTTTAGGAATGGAATCAAACTGAACCCTGGGGCTGCTCCATCTGTCTATAGCATTCCCTGTGGCGTAGCAGCTGGTAGGTGTCCTCCGGACAAGAACAGCATGGGGGGGACCCAAACCTTTTCAAAGCGACCACGCAACTCTGTGCAAGGAACACCTTTCTTGAACTAGAACACAAGTTTGTAAGAGGTACATCCACACCTCTGCACATCTAGTAAAATCCAGAATAAAATGCACAACAGAACAAGCTCATGAAAGTTTACAGAACTTAAATATTTATTTTTAAACCATTTAAAACCCCCCAAAACATTGAAATAAGCTTCATCTATAAACAGATTTACAAGACTAACAACTACAGAAGCTAAAGGAGCACTACAATTTGTTTCTGTGATGCAGTTACTTTGTAAAGCTTCAGGTCAACTGTATTTACAACTTCTGCTGCTTTTACATTTATAAAAATATTTATTTAATCCATAACATTATTGTTTTCAAAAACTATTTCCAGACTTTTTTCTCAGATATAAATTCTAATCGAATTTCAGTTATATAGCAGATGAAAGTTTTAAACAGAAACTTTTTTTTAAAATTAAAACAAGGAGTTAAAAGTAATTTTTTTACAGTGTAGGCACCATTGAAAATAATTGTCCTTGGCATATCTAACCACCATCTCTCACAAGTGTCCTTTATATAAAAACGATGTAATGGCAACATTTGACTAAAAATGCAGTATTTACTTGCACACCATTACTTTTTCAATATTTGGCAGATATATTTCAGATTCTTTAAAATGACTTTTGTGCAAAAACAAAATGTGCAGGTCTGAACCATAAAATAAACACACCCAGCCTTTATCAAAAATAAATTTACACCAACAGTTCCACAGCTAAGTACTGAAAAACAATCCCAGTTCAAAACTTCAGCATAATATACATACTGGGTTGAAAAAGGGAAAAAAAAACAGAAGAGAAGATATTACCCATCTAGCAGTACCATAAATATATAACTGAAAGCAACTTTATAGTCTTACCTACTTTTTATGAAAAAAAAAAAGAAAAAAAATCACTCCGTACTGCACAGTACTACCTTTTTGTGAAAGAATATCTATAACTCAGTTATTTGCATATTAACTGGTAAATACATATTTAAAATACACTTTCAGAAAATTATAAACAAATTATGTTGATGTACTGTATTTAATGTGTTTAAGAACAAAAATGTGTATAAATATCTTACAGGAGAAACAACACCACCACACAGAACGCTGGTGTTACACTTATACCTGCTTGTGAGGTATGTATCATGCGACGCTCGGCTTCTCTGGCTCCCTTCCACCCAGGCATGTATACTCAGAGGAAAAAAATTAAATTAAGTTAAATTGGACTTCAGGTTTTGTCCATTATTGCCAAAAACCCCACCCCCTCAACTGTATTGCTTTAAATTTTCCTACCATGATGATGTAAGATTGAATTACTACTTCAAAACCTGTTCTAAAAGGTAATACATATACTGTACATCAGGATATACCTGTTGCTACATATCACCTGCAAACTATTGACATATTGCTCTCAAATATATTTAATCATAGAGCTGCCTAAAATACTGTACCAATTTAGAATTATAATAGATACTGTTGCAGGTTTATTTTTCAGGGCACGATAACTATATGCTGGTTGAAGCAGGTGCTACAGCAATACCCTTGCCACTACGTTACATGTTTTGAATACGCTTGTGAAAAAGCTATTTTCTCTGAAGCTTGTTAGTGATTTACAAAAGTTTAACTCATGGATACAAAAGACCTGTACATCCCCACGTACAGGAACAAAATAGCATCAAAACATACTGTACTTGCACTTTCTATTAACTAAAGTAATGGTTATTTCTAAAAGCAAAACTGCACCTCAACATTTATCAGATTAAACAGGTGAAACTACAATATTAAAAGTTGTTCTTTACAAAATAATTTCCTGAAAATATAAAACCATGTGCACTGCCACAAAATAGTTGAGTAGGTTCTTTCAAATCCTCAATCACCATCAATATGTTGCAAAGATCCAAAAGGCACAAGGAGCTCATGAGCTAAGCACTGCCAAGCTTGAAGTAGTTTTGGTGGGTTTCACTGGGTCCATACGAAACATCAGTCAATTATGTGAAGTTTCTTAGGATGAGTCATTAACAGAAAATCTACGGATAAAAAAAAGCAATCAAGAATTTTGTTAATTATATTGTTTCAGCTTGGCAAACAGCACATAACTATTTTTGCATCACTGAACTAGTACATGCCTTCATCTCAACAGATCATAGGAAAAAAACCACCAGAAGTGACCTTCTCATGAAAATATTCCCTAACAACTGCAGCACTAGAAGACCAAACAGATACAGTAATAGTTACTATTAGTTTTAGTCTCAAACAGAAGTGTTACGTATAACTACCAAAGCTAAACGTTTAAATCCCTGGAAATAGCAAATCTTTCATTTATCAGTAAGTACTCAAATTTCCCCAACATATGAAGTTCAGTGTCAATTAACCCTTCCTGTGCATAAGTACTTAATTTAGTTTTTTTTTCTTTTAAAAGAAAGCTGCCTTTTTTTTTTTTTTTTTTTTTTATTCAAAAAAAAAAAGCCTAAATATCTTAAGTACTGCTTCTGA